AAGCAGGGTTACGCTGTTAAGTACAGACCTCCCACAATAGTATTCCAAACGAGTAGACATCGCTTTTCTTTGAGTACGTGCCTGAACTCAAAACTTCCGGTGCAAGCCAACGAATAGGCAATCGTTGCTTCATGTCCTAGAAGGAAATTCTTGATCCACATTTCGTCGATTGTTTTCATGAGGAACTTCCTTGTTCCTGACGAGAGAACTTCCTTATTCCTGTTTATTTAATTACACTTACTTTTAACTTGTATTTCTTTGCTCGGTTTGATAACTCTCTTGAAAGTCCAAAATCGCTCAGCTTCACGTCCCCTTTGTGCACTAAGCAGTTCCTGTAACATCATAATTTCACATCCGTTACAACACTACTTATTTTGCATGAAATTTGCTACGATTTTGATGTCGCGATATTATTACAAGTTTTCGACAACCTTTTCCCAAACATGCAATCCATGTGGTCGATTCGACTGACTTGGGATACTTATATTATCCCGATATTTTGAAGTTCATTTATTCTTTTTCGCACTGTTATGCGATGGCCTTTGCTGGCTGTCGCGACCGGGCGAGATAAGGCTGCGTTTATACTTTGCGGCAGCGTAGCGTAGCGCTTCCAGCGTACGCCAGCGGCAGTGCCGGGGAGAGGATGGATATCGATCTAGCGTTCCCAGCGTCACCAGCGTACGCTAGCGTTACGCCAGCGTTTCTCCAGCGTTTCACCAGCGTTTTGCTAGCGTTTGCAGCGGCAGGGGAGTAGAGACTATGGGAGAGCTGGAGGGTACAAAACACATCGATTGCGCGTCTCTCACTCGCCCTCAGTCTCTACTATACACATCGATTGCGCGTCTCTTACGGCCACATAGTCTCTACTCCCCTGCCGCTGCAAACGCAGCAAAACGCTGGCGTAACGCTAGCGTTACGCTGGTGACGCTGGGAACGCTAGATCGATATGCATCTCTCCGGCACTGCCGCTGGCGTACGCTGGAAGCGCTACGCTACGCTGCCGCAAAGTATAAACGCAGCCTAAAGAAGGAGGGCATCGGCACCCATTCGCACCATGCAGAACGTGCGCCCCTTCTAAAGGATCCTGCTAGCTCTACTGCGGGCAGCAGATAGCTGCTGACCCGCTGCAGCTATACGGAACTTCTTCCCGGATCGTATCAACCTATGCTCAGACTGTGCTATGAACAGCGAGAGATGACTTTTTGCTGCAATACAAAACAAGGTATTGACTGGTATTCCTATGGTTACTACACAAGGGTTGCAATGCGAAAACCCAGAGTGATGCGAAAAACGAGCTGAGACCAGAGAAGCCGAGCAGCTTCTCGCGCTTCTGGTCTCTTGCATCGCTCGAACTGGGTCTACGGACAATTTGAACATACTTCCTTCGAATGTGATGATCCTTTGTTTTTCTCTGCATCCTCGTACGTAAGGCTTTCTGTGGTCGTTGTGACCTCACTCATGCCAGCTTTTTACAAATGCTGGGCGTTTCATCCGCCTCGGAGTTCCTTCCCCTTGAGAAAGCAATATCCTGGCTCTTCACATGAATGCTGTACCATTCAATGTTTTTGCAGCCGTTGTCCTCTGTCTGTCGGCGTTACATGTTTCGCACACACACAGATGTTCAAGATGTTGCGTAACCTTCCACCTGGTATTCACGGTGCCATGACGAGCGAAGCATGGTTTCATTCCTTAGCACACCTGATGCTTTCAAGTTTGTACGCAAGTCACGCCACTGGTCATGCTGTACCCTACGTCCTTTACACTGAAGGAAACCGGCCCCGGAAAGAAAGCGGCTTTAAGCCGCGCCGCTTATAGGGTCAGCTGGGAAGTGCGAAAGTGGGGGAGGAGAACATCGAGGTACCCTAGTCCGCACTAATTACAAACTTCTACTTGTCCGCTCTGAATAAGACTTATTATCACACAGTGAGCTCTTGAACGTAATGTGGAGTAGTAGATTGTTCTGAATTCCGCAGCCTTGAGGAGCTTCTAAGTTGTCATACAATGCAAGAGTATAAATTTTTCGGGCGATTTAAACCCCGAAAAATCATTTATAGAGCGTTAACAGGTACCTTGCTGCTACATCTCGATGCAAGCAGTCATTTTCGTGCAGATATTCTAAGCCTTTGGCGGCTCCTATTGAATAACGAAGCTGTAACTGATGTCGCGTTTAAATTATCATCCCGAGTGTTTAGTTCAAAGAGGCCTCACCCGATCTCGTTTTGTTATATGAGCAGCTTCTTTTTGCAAGTGTACGTCCAAAGAGCCACCGCTCACCATCTCCATTACCAACATTATCGGCTCCTGTGAAATTGAGCGACATTTTCCGGCAATAGATTTCAACCGTTCCTTATTCTCAATTTTCCAAAAAGGCATCGTGTCGGGGATGCATTGAAAAATTGTATTTTTGCCAGCACGATTGGCATTTTTATCAGTAATTGGAATCGCGACACCTTTTTCATCACTAAGAATGGCGCCGAGATGGAGGTCGCGCAGTGGCAAGTGGCGCGCTTACAACTCGCACTGTTCGGATATCACATCACGGATCGGCTCTCTCCCAGGCCCACCAAGCGTTCTACCCTCCGGGCAGTAAATTAGTACCAGATTCTGGGAGGATAAAACACTGATTTGTACATCGGCTGGCCACCGCAAGTCATTGTATAGGCCACATCGCATTCAATAAGCCACTACGATTCTGAATGGAAGTAGAATGCGTGCCGCATCCCACAAAGGGATTGATTAACGGCGAACACTTTATCCTTCATCCATGATTAAGAATGACGCTGCTCATAAAGCTTCCCACAAAGCGGAGCATAGAGTGAACTACATTCTGTATTCGTCCAGGATTTTTCAGTACCCGTCGGATCGCCCGCATTCGGCGGGCGATCCTCCTTGTGCTAGTGAAGTGGGTCTCCAACATCCGCTCGGTTTCTTGTTGAAGTAGATAGAGGAGAGCTTATTAGCACGGATTAATACCGCAACATTTTAGACCTGATTCTTCTGGCAAAACAAGGCGCTCCATTTCTCCAATGTCAGTTATCTGCTCAACGTAATCTTCACGTGGAAGAAAATTAATGCTGACTTCTACACCGTACGACCTCCTACTTTCACAACACGTAGCGTTGTTAGTTATTTGATGGTTTGATTATCATTATTCGATTATCAATACCAAATACTTGCGTAGGTCAGTCACGAAGTCGAATTTAGCTAGTTCCGTACACTCGATACGCTCAGTGCGAGATAAGAGACGGGGCTTTGCTTGCGGCTACTTTGCCCCTTTTAGCGGCATCTTCAGAGCTCAAACAGCACATCGTCGCTTGAAAACTCACATGCTCAATGGCGACTCCGAAAAATTTCACAACGTTAGGGTGACGGTAGCGCCGCATAATGCGTGCTTCTTTACAGATTTCCGAAATAATCTTCTTAGTGACTTCGCTGCCCTTGTTTACTTTAACGGCAACCTGCAAATGCAGCATGGACTAGTCAATCGAGTGATAAGATTACGCAAACATCTACTATGGAATGTTAAGTGGATGAGGATGAACGCGACAGCTGCCGGCACTCATAAAGTGGTACTGCGAAGTGAAAGAGCAGAGGAATCATTTCGGTAGCTCAAAGATCAGCTACATAACACGCTAACAACTTTACAGTAATTGCACTATGGTCCCGATGAAAGATCCAAGGTTGCATAAACACTATCCAAGTAATCTCTATCACACCTCATATTTCTTGTTATCTAAAGTCAGAATTCCTGCATAAACGCCTCCAAACGCTCCTTCTCCAAGTTTCTGTCCGAGTTCTATCTGAAAACAGTCTTTTCAGGTAGTTCTTTTACGTTATCCATTTCCATGCTATGTTGATCAATTCGTCAGCACACCTCACGATAGCACGCTGTAATAGTGGTTTTTAATTCTGGCTATGTAAATGCTCAGTGCCGTTATTTCCACACAACTTTTCTGAGGGGTCGCGTTTATGGTAGGCGCGGCAGTCCCGGCATGCTTAACGGGGAGAATATTGGAGACGCCGCTAGGGTCGCCGAGGCGGCGACGACCCAAGCCACCAGTCAGTCTTGCAGCAATCCCCACGGTCGCTTCGCTCTGCTCGGCGTCTGCTCCGTCAACGTCGTCATCCATCTGTGCTGGCTGCCGTCATTTTCCAAGCAGCCGTAGTAGGCGAGGAAGCTAGACCACAGAAAGCCCCAGGTAACCGTTAGGACCGGAGGCGCATCCAAACTTTCTGGAAGCTGGAGGGCAGAATGCTTCCAATGGCTGTGGTTAGTGGGCAGTCGCCTCATGGTAGGGACGTAGGCTGGGTTCGGTTCGTCCCAGTAGGCTTGAACCGTACTTTCTTCTACTCCACAGTTTTTATTTATGGCTATTCCGAGATTCATTTCATAATTCAGAGTAGTCAATCAATTCGTCATTTTTGGATAGCGGGTTGCACGGGTTGCGGATAGCAGCACTACCGCCAGTGTGGCAACATCGCTGGCGAGCGAGGGCAAGCGTAAGTGCCCTACACGTACACGCGCCAATTGTGACCCTTTGCACAGCAGATGAACCCGGTGCGTAGAGGTTGAGTCGTCCCCGGCACTAAGGTCAAATTTTTCAGCGACGATACCGCTGATTCCGAAAATTCCCCTCTTAACGATTCAGTTGTTTTTGTAGTCTATTTTCAGTAATGTGTGGTACAATAAGCTAATGGTGGACGTTTAGGAGACTTGTTAGTTAAACGCGGAAAAGAACGCGGGTGAGAGACCCCACTGTTCTTCGTTGAGTTCTTGCAGTAGCGCTGTTATCGATACTGGATCAAGGGCACACTTTCACTACAAGCCTTAACACTGCTTTCGAGTGAAAGGGGCACAAAATCTCATGTTGTTGACACACACCTCTAGGATTCGCATATCGCTCTCAGCTCATCATAGGCTGTTTTTTCAACTTGACAAGTGAGCATACCCATTCGTGTTTAAACTCCCAATCTTGTTTCGGTATCGGTGTGATTCAAAACAGCTCCGGTCGACTCCGTAATTGGTTTCTGTTCTCGCACATAATATTCTATCATAGCCAAAACGCACGAAAAATTTTCTTTTTCAATGAAAACCTTTCCTGTAACATTGTTTTGAACTTCCTTTGAAGAAACACACGCTTTGGACAGCTAGCAAAGTTTATTTATTGAAGTGTACGACTCTGGCAAGTATTTACCACATATACTGAATGACGGGTTATAATAAGTCGCTCTGAACGAATTACCCCAATGTTGAACCGAACCAAACATCAAGCTTCCTATGAGACCGCTTCAGCTGATGCACTAGTCAGGGAAGGCGGACAGGTCAAGTTCGGCAGTTTGCATTTTGGGACGCTGAACTGCTGGCCAGGATTGCTATTCTGAAGAGCGGGACTACTACTTTTCTCTGTTTCCCCTCTACCTCTTCTCCTAATTGGTACCTTTCTTTAACGATCGGGGGCAGTTAATCAACACTAGTGTCACTAAGGTAAGGTTTTCCTAAAGACCAATTTTTTCGTGTAGATTTATCTGAATCGTTTGTTTCTCCCTCTCTTCCTTTCCAAAATCTCGCCCATCTCCACGAGTTTTTTCCCTGCTCAATCCTCTTTCGTATCTTCCGTCGTTCTTCCACCACGGTTCTGCCATTTCGATTGGCCTCTCAAAGTTTTTTTCCGCATGTGGTTGCAAGCCGTTCTCGAATCAAACTTATCACAGTGTTAGAAACAAGCGGATTCTTTACATCCTCTACAGTCCCCCGCCACAATACCATCTTCGTTTGTCTCGGATGCCCCTTTGTCAACGAACGACCCGCGCGTTTCTTTGTACTATTTTCCTTTCCGTCTTTGTTTCATCATCGCAAGACCTTTTGGTCAGCTCCTCGACACACCTCCAGTTTCTCTTCCTTTTCTCTGTCACATTAATTTTGGGCCTTATGAAGTTGAATGATTCGAGGAAGGATCCTATCCGCAGACGTAGTCTCTCGTAGTATGACTTCTTCTTCTTCTATGGTTCACCTTAGGTGTGTACACCGGTTTGTAGAGCTTCAAGCTTCAAGCGGTCATGCCAGTTAGATCCTGTCCAGGTACGACCGTGTTGAATCTGCAGGTTAGTAGCCACGCGCACCTGCCAGCGTCCGCTTCTCAAGTGCTGTATAACGCTAGGACGCTGCAGTGTTTGCAATTCACCCTTCTTATCAAGAGTTTATATTAATGCCCCCACAAATCCTATCTGCAGCCTCAACGTGCCGCGGGGGTGAACGGTTTGGACCGTTCCAAACCGTGCTAGTGCGGGAGGCGCCGCGTCGGAGCCTGGGGAGCTACGCGTGTTCGAATGTCCCACGCTAAAAACAGTAATACATATGGGCCTCATTCCCCTGAACCTGAGGTTATTAACGAATTTTCCCATCTTCACCTGTGAGGGCGACACGTGGAACCTCGCCCATACTCTGCCGATCTTCCGAAGGAAACCGTCACCGCCGACGCCTTCACGTCTGCCGACAGATTCCAGATAATGGATATTTCGCAGACCGTTTTGCACGATCTGTGTTTCCTCATCGCTTCGTTGGAGCCCCGTCTCCAACCAACAAAGTTCCCCTCTGAGGAATCATGCGGCTACGCGATGTCATTGCGTTTCGGAGGCAGGCAGTTCGACTCATCATTGCTCTCGTTGATTACCACTACCGCGACCACTACGATAGCATCGACCGGATTCCGCGGACTCCAGGATTCCCACTGTCGTTGCTCTTCCCGCCAACTGATGGGCCGGTGTTTGCCCGGTCTTGTACTAGGCAGTCCGCGGAATCACGTGGTAATGGGCAAGGCGTCATCTTGGGAGCTGGAGATTTCTTCATATCTGGTCCGGATCATCGCGAGCTCCAGTTTCTGCCCCTCAATCTGTCAGCTGTCTAACCAGGACTCGAGGATTCGATAGAGGCCACGTCTCTTACAAGGATTTCGTGTGGATCCTTCCACTGCGTCCAACCCCCAGAGCGCTCACCACTTGAGATCGTCAAAAGTCCTGAAAAAGGCGCGCCTCCCGGCTCCTTCTGTCCTGGACTCTTGCCGGCCATACTTTCTGCAGGTGCACGAGTTTATTCTGGTGCCACCGTCACGTGCGTCGGAACGTCTTGAAATGCGCAATCTTCACATTGCTTTAAGGAATGTCGGAATTCGTATTTCTACGTCCCTCCGCAATATCCCATTGAACCAGTTCGCGAGAAGGTCTACTGCTAGCAGGAGCCCGGGCCAACTTTTCATGTGCGATGCGTTCCTCTCATGGCCTCCTTCCGTGGCTGCCCAACGGAGCCTCACGAATGTCATAAGACCTTTCCTTCCCGTCTATTCGGAAGAAGCCGCACTGCCGATACACGTCACCAGAGCTCCTGGCGAAGACCGCCATTGGGTCGAGGACCGTATGGGCCACTTCTCAAGTCATGGTCAAGATCCAGATTTGGCCGCCACCGAATGGGCAAATTGTTTTCTGCAGCCAGCGCCGCTCTCTCAGCTCAGGCCCTGTTGGGTGACGACAAGTCGCCGCGCGGAACTACACCCTCTATACTGAATATAAATATATTCAGTAACTTCTTATTTCTGACAACTGTACTTTGATCACACGTATTAATTGTAACTGTTCTCACATCATATGTATAATTCTCATGAAATTCCTTTATGTTGTTTCTATTAACCGTTATGTTTAACCGTTCATCGCATTCTTACTCTGCTAACTATGAGAATATCGTAGTCTCTCGCAAGCTTATCAGATGAAACCTCTCCTCCGCGTTGCAACTTTCCCAAGCAGGCCGGGCATAAAAGCGACCGTAGGCAGCTTGAAGGTAACTAGTTAGTTTCTTTCTTGTTATTTTCTATTGTTTCATCTCTTTGGATTTCCCTTGCCTGTTGTACTGCACTAAAAGTTTCTAGGAGCACGATCACTGCACTATAAGGCGCCTTTCCTGCACTAAAAGGCGACACAAAAGTAGACGTAGGTAATTTTTAACTTTCATTATTCTGTGCCATTCCATGATTTATTCCTTATTATTATTGTTATTATTTGGTTCCTTAAATAAAAGTTTAATTACCCAAGTTTGAGGTCGGTGTGTAAAAGTTCCCGCGTGGCAGACCTCATACGATATAATACGAGACCCGACTTTACCCTCGTCTCCACCTTCAATGCCATCCCTGTTCTTCTCCAGTCCGAGCTTCACTCGATATCCACGGAGGGAGGACGGTCCCGTTCCACCCTGCTGATGTCTGGGTCGTTGGCTCACGTCTGTTATTACTGGCTGAAGCGCAGTTTCTCCGAATTTCTAGCTGCACAATAACAAGACACT